CAGCATTTATTGCCCTGTCCCTAGTTGCCCCCCTTGAGAAGGTGGGGGTGAGCTGCGTTCTTGAACCGCTGCAGTCCATGTGCTGTAGGGTTGACCCACAATGCCCCTTAGGGAGGGAATTCCAGGATTCTGACCCAGCGACACTGAAGGAACGGGGATATATTTTCCAAGTCAGGATGGTGAGGGGCTCGGAGGGGAACTTGCAGGGGGTGGTGTTCCCATGTATCTGCTGCCCCTTGTCCTTCTGGATGGAAGTGGCCGTGGGTTTGGAAGGTGCTGCCTGAGGGGCCTTGGTGAGTTTCTGCAGTGCATCTTGTAGATGGTACACACTGCTGCGACTGAGCGTCGGTGGGGGAGGGAGAGGGATGTTTGTGGATGTGGTGCCAATCGAGCAGGGGCTGCTTTGTCCTGGATGGTGTCGAGCTTCTTGAGTGTTGTTGGAGCTGCCCCCATCCAGGGCAAGTGGGGAATATTCCATCACACTCCTGACTTGTGCCTTGTCGATGGTGGGACAGGCTTTGGGGGGAGTCAGGAGGGGAGTTACTCGCTGCAGGATTCCCAGCCTCTGACCTGCTCTTGTAGCTGCTGTATTTATGTGGCGGGTCCAGTTGAGTTTCTGGTCAATGGTAACCCCCAGGATATTGATAGTGGGGGATTCAGTGATGGGAACACCATCGAATGTAAAGGGGGTGATGGTTAGACTATTTCTTATCAGAGATGGTCATAGCCTGGCATTTGTGTGGCGCAAATGTTACTTGCCACTTGTCAGCCCAAGCCTGAATATTGTCCAGAAATTGCTGGAAAAGCTCAGCAGGTCTCGCAAATCTGTGGAGAAAAGTCCCAGTAAATGTTTTGGGTCGAATGACCCTTCCTCAGAAAATAACCAAACTGGCCAGTTACTAAAATGGTTTGCGTGTTGCATTGTTTCACAGTCAGAGATTCCATTGCTAAGTTTTCCAGAAACCCTACGCAGGCTTACCTCCTCAGTTCTCTCAGGTAAAGGTCAAACTCAGCTTTCTACCCTATGGGGTTCTAGAAGCTGATTAGGCGCGAGATTAGGCAGAGAGCTTTCAAATCTTCACTGCATTGTCAGCAACCCAGTCCATTTCAGCAGAAAGGACAGCTCAAACAAACAACTTCAGTTGTTGTTCCATCCCGACGGACTATGGCCGTTCAACAGCTGTCATCTGCTTGAATATTGGGTCTATTCCAGACTTGACAGAACCAATTCCCAAGTACCAACCTCATTAAGAGCTAACGTCTATTGAAGCTCAATGCATTTTTTCAATGTTGCTACGTCTGTTAGAAACATTTCAGTCAAGATTCAATCTGCAATTGGCCTCCAGGCCTGACCTCAGAAACAAAGTGTTCTTTTCCCTTTCAGTACAAGCAGCTTCACAAAGTCCACAGGTCATTCTCAGCTCCCAGCTCCCAGTTACAGCTCCAAACCAAAATTAATAAAAGGATAAAAAATGAAAAGTCAGCGTGGGTTCTAACAGTTGCTAAATTTGCATTTATAGCAGGCGTTTTTTGGACCGAAGGGTCTGTTTCCCTGTTGTACGTCTCTAGGACTCTATGATTCCATAACTTTCTAAATTATGGAGAAGTGAGATATTCAAATCAGGAGGAACAGAATTTGGGTGGATCACACTGCACATTCCTCATCTTTGATCATCAGAAGAAGGTTGTATTTAAATGAGCGAAGATTGATTCTGTCTAGCAACAGCTGGACTGGAGATTTCAGATGTTCACATCGAATCTTCAGTAACCATTTATCTTCATGTTCAAGGCTTAAAGAATAAGGCAATGTCAAGGATCATAGAATCAGTACAGTATAGAAGCAGGACATTTGGCCCATTGAGTCTGCACTGACCCTTCAAAGACCATCCCACCCAGACCCACCTGCCAACTCTTTCCCTGCAACCCCACATTTCCCACGGCCAATCCACGCTAACCTGCACATCTTTGGACAGTGGGAGGAAACCGGAGCACCCGGAGGAAACCCACGCAGACACGGGGAGAATGTGCAAACTCCACACAGACAGTCACCCGAAAGTGGGATCGAACCCGGGAGAAAGAATAATGGTTGATATGAATATTATAATAATTACGCAGGAAGATTCAAAGGAACATCATAAAAACAGAAGTTGCTGGAAAAGCTCAGCAGGTCTGGCAGCATCTGTGAAGGAAAAAATCAGAGTTAACGTTTCGGGTCCCAGTGACTCTTCCTCAGTACTGATGGTGGCTGGGAAAACGTCAGTTTATATGCAGAAAATAGGGAGGTGGGTGGGGTAGGGAGTAACACGATAGGATAGAGCCCAAAGAGAGAGAAAGACAGTTGGACAGAC